CCCGCCACCCCCGATAAATTATACGTCGATAAATTAAGGGTACGTCGGTGTCCGCCGATAAAAATCGAAGATGCAAACCGGCCGGACCGATACGGAGGAGAAGACCGACGGTAACAGCGATTCATTTTTCATCGACCTAACCGAATTTGTCGAACTCGGGAGCCGCGCCAAGGGTGGGATCTAATTTCAGGGCCATTACGATGTGTACGGGCTTTTCCTACCCTACTCGGGCACGATGGCCGTGAACCATCATTTGTACGAATTACACCAGCTTGCCCCTCTATATCGGCGATCGTTTATTATTATTAGGACCAACCCCCGTCTTCCGTGATACCTTCTCGCGTAAGGATACGCGATTAATCCTTCCGGAATTCCTAGGAAAGGTTGCTACCTCCGAACAGTGCATTATGCAATTAAAATTGACCTTTTAAGAAAGACACTAAGACTCAAGAGAAAACCTAAACACCGTAATAGAATCGTTTTCATCTAATTAAAGCAACTGTAACGTGTCCATACATTGTAACCACTATTCTCGCGTAAGGATTCGCGATTAATCCTTCCGGAATTCCTAGGAAAAGTTGCTACCTCCGAACAGTGCATAATGCAATTAGAATTCACCTTTCAAGAGAGACACTAAGCCTCAAGAGAAAACCTTGAACGCCGTAATAAAATCTTTTTCATCTAATTAAAGCAACTACAACATATCCATACATTGTAATTGCTATTCAAACTTAGTCAAACAAATCCCAATCTTTCACCAGGAATACCAAATTCCATTCTTCGCTACTCGACACCCCGAGGAATCAATTAATTCGGACTCGGTTGATCCGCCCGACGCGGCCTCTTCACGAGACAGATGCAGCTGATCAAAGGGGGCTAAAGGGGGCGGCGGCGCGGGCCAGAAAATTATTTAACGCGGCCCCGGCGTCTTCTGATCTTTTCCATCGGATAGATGAACCCTTTCATCCTCAAGAGAGATACCGCCCGAAAGAGAGAGACCGAGCGAGAGACGCGGCTGATGGGGTTCGAGCCAAGCCCCGATCTGCGACGATGGAAATTATATATACGTACATAAGAGGAAGGCGAGAGACTGGTACGTTAAAGAAATTAGAGAGATAATTCCTCGGACGAATACCCAATTTACCCTTTCGTCCGTTCCCGTAGCGTCCTGGCCTTATTATCTAAAGTGCTCGGCAGCGGCAGAGGCTGGCACAGGAGCGGCGCTGGCAAGAGAGAAAAAAAGAAGACAGCGGACCGCTCGAAAAAGGAGGGGGAGAGGGAGGAGAGAGGAGAGAAAAAAAAAGGAAGCGAGAGAGGAACATGCACCCTCGGCACCCGGCGGCCTCCTGACAGCGACCCGGAGGGTTCGCCGTAAGGGGGTTGCCGCCGGTGGCCCCGCAAGGACAAAAAGTATTAAAGGATACCCCCAGAAGCCGGCTTCCTCCTGCGAGCACAAGCAACGGCCGGAACTCGCCGGGCCGAGATGTTGGCGAACTTTTTTCGGGCTACTATCATTTATTCACGCCAGAGTTATTTTCCTCCGAGCTTCAACGCCTACCACCCTCTGCCGCCGCTGTTCTACCTTCGGTAAAGGGGTGTGCGCCCTGTACACTCCACCCCAACGTTCTCCAGCTGCACGGCCGCTTCTTATCTGGCTTTACGCTTCGACAGCTGGTTCGACGATATTCCGACGTCCTTCACTCGCGGGAGCGGGGGTGAAAAATTGTAATGACCCTGGAGAATGGCGAGGCTATTGTGAGCTGCCAGGTTTCAATTGTGCTTGTTTTCTGTATTGCTTGATTTTGTAAAGATTTAATGAATTAACACGTTGAATGCACGATTTCGTATAGCAAAATAAGCAAATCGAAAAAATATTGAATCATTTGATTGAATTGTTATTGCATGTTCGTGTAGATGAATGTCACTCATTAGGCAGTATTATTTGTAACATAGAGATCTTTTCAAATAATCATAGTTTCACTGAGTGAACTATAGTAACCCGATTCTGTTGGTCACTGACAAAGTTCAAGAAGTTAATGTGAAGGTTATAATAAAATGAAGAAATTGAAGAACTGATGTACATTAGACATCTTAATCTCAATCATATTATTTATCATACAGCCTCCATCTTCGACGTACAAATCATTTCCCGTCCGTTCTCCAAAGCCGGCCGAATAAATCAATCGATCAGCCAACACAAACCTCCCCATTAAAACAAACGAAGAATCACACCAGAAACACATCCAACCCTCTCCAGAAAGCTTCCCAGCCCATCGATCCCTCGATCCGACGCGGTACCGAAAGTAACCCCCTCTTCCAGCGGCGAACAGAATCACCGCGCTTCGCGCGACTCCTTAGCGCCGCGAGCCGCTCGGGATCGCCGCTCGGGGAAGAAGAGCGGAGTCCATAAACCGCGATATAGAATACAGAGGAAAGGATCATAGAAGCTGAAAGGGGTCGAGGGAGAGGGCGATTCCATCGGGAGATCGGTGAAACAGAGAGCGAGCCGCAGGCCGCCACCGCTTGAATTGAAAGAACCGTCCTCAATCAGCCCGTGGAAATGCATTTTCCGTCTCCCTGGGCTTCTGTGCCGGACGCCGTTCCGCGCTGGTCCGCGTCGCGCGCGCCGTGGCGGCGGTTTTCGGGCACGGCTTGATACCAGGGAACCGGCGGCGAGCGCGTTGCGCGTCGCGCACACAAGCCGCGGAGGCGGCGGACGAGGTGGAGGAGTGAGGAGGAGGAGGAGGAGAGAGGGCCAGTCTTTGTCGCTATTTCGGGGGGATGAACGACGAGCCGGGGACACGAATACGAGTTCGATCGATGAATCACTCGGCGTGCACCGTTGACGTTGACGCGGAACGAGAGCCGGCGACCGATGGGACAAACAGGGAGAAAGGGAGAAAGAACGTGAAAGCGAGAGAGCCGGCGGGAAAGCCGGACAGAAACGTTGCGCGTGGTCCGACGGAGAAAGCGGACACGAGCGTTAGAGGCCGTTAGATAGAGAGGGGCGAGCCGGGAAAGTGAAAAAGAGAGACACGGCCGGAGAATTCGTGTGACGAACGCCGCGACGGGAAGAGGAGAGCGAACGTTTAGCGTGCGGACGTGGGAAGGGTGTCGCGGGGGAGGGTGGGACGCGATCAGATGCACCCTCTCGCTATATATACGGTAGCAGCTCACCGGTTGCGGGTGTAGAG